TTGTCCTGCCTTCATAGGTTGACCCACTCCTCCCTCCTGTTTGTGACAGCCCTTTTGATATTGGAGCACTGATATCATGTCACCCCTAGTCCTTCTTTTCATTAAACTAGACATACCCAATTTCTGCACCCTTCTTCTTGTGTTTTAGCTTCCAGTCCCCTAATCATCTTTGTCACTCTTCTCCACATTCTTTCACATATTAGACACTACAGAAATCTAGTCTGAATAAGAGCATAGATCTGATTTTATCAACAATCTAAGCCATAATGTGACCTGTGTCACACTTTCAGATTAATATTTTTGGGTAAATCAGCCATTATGATTTACAAAGCATGGTCTATAATTTAGCATCTTTTACAAATAAACACCCAATGATGAATCAATAAAATGAATGGTGACTTAGCACGATAAATGAATCAGGTAATAAAATTGTTACATTTTATGGTGTTTTGAATATCTCTTTTTAAAACAAACATATCTATGATGATACATTACATAATTCATGTATGGTTTTGTGAGAAGTTAAACTCTTCAGCATTTCATAATATATTTTATATTTTAATCATATTTTTTAAAAAAAATATAATTACTTTTGCTTTTCAAAATTTTATTTCTATATTCAATTCAAAATGTTGCAGTTTAGAACAATACAGTAAAAAGTCCTGTTAAGCATAAAGAGAAGCAAACAAAGCAGCAATGATACATTCAAGGACAATGACATTGGCTTTCTAAATTAGAAGCAATTTAAGATTTATTGTAAGAAGAGCAGTTCAGTCATGGTTTCTGTGGTAACCAAATATCAATGCTATTTGCATTCAAATTTCTTTTAGTTCTAGCGTCAGGATACATTAATACCCCTTATCAAAATGTCTGTCATGACTTAAAAAAATAAAAATAACATGATGCTAAGAGTAATGAAATTAGGGAAAAGTGCTGGCTTCAAATAAAGTTACCTATCCTTCTACCCAGTCATGATTGTTATGGTATTCCCCCAACTATATTATGATTATTATGGTGTCGGTAAAAACTGAAAAAATCATCTTCTGTTCACTCTCCATATTAAGATGATGGAAAGGGGATTGTTTGCATTCTTGCAAATCATTGGAAGATAATCTAAGACAACTGTGGCATGAGGACTGGTATAGAAAAAAAATTGGGTATATTTCACAACTGAGTTGTTGTCCCTTAAATAGGATTCCATAAGAGCAATAAATCCAGGATCCAAAACATCTTTATCACCAATATCAGGGACTTTGAAAAGAAGGTCCTTGAACAAGCATCCTCAGTTCACAGTAAAATGCAACCTTAAATTATACCTACTTTGATTTGATAATTGTGACCTCAATGATTAATAAAACTTGTTATTATTTAATAAAATAAACACACAATGAAATATGGGAAGGAAATTATCTACTGTGGCTCGGGATTGTCCATCAGCAGGATACTTTGTAAATTTGAACAAAATAGAGTCCAATTTAGGATGGTGGGGCAAATATTAAAAATGGCTACAGCATGAGGCTGAAGAGTAAAACATTCCAGGAAAAAAAATTCTCAATGCTCAGGATGTGACCAAATGTTCTATTCTAATCCATCTTCCCCACTCATTTGTGGGGTTATAGGCAGCTTGCATAGTCATAATCACATGACTATGAAATGTTTTTGTTGCCCATGTTGATTCTAAAGCATCGATACCACAGAAACAATTTGCACTTTGAATTTTTCCATAATTTCATGGCATTGAAAACTAACAGTATTTTTTGAACCCTAAAGGCTCACAGATGATTGGTATTTCCATCATTCAACATATTGCACTTGAAAATTGCACCCTTCCTTAACCAGGAGGAGGAGGAGGAGGAGGGGGAGGAGGAGGAGGGGGAGGGAGGGAGGGAGGACTGGAGGAAAGGGCAGAGGATTGAAAGCCAGCAGGTGGCAAGCACCGGGGAAACCAGGAGATTCAGGCAGTTCAAATGAATATAAAGATTTATTGCAAGTTTAAGTACTCTATAAGAATCTGACCAACTAGCGGTCAAGGTAAATGAGCAGGAGATAAGAGAAGCATCCAAGGTGGGCTGGACTTAGACCTCTTGCAGGTGCACAGGGACTCATGACTTATGATGCATTTGACCCCTTCATCAAGCTCAGCCTGGTCATCTCCTACAGCACGTTTTATTAAAAAAATCTAACTTTTATTTAAAACAACAAAACAAACACATCACAAAAATGATGTAAAGAAAAACAGTTTCTTCCTTCATTGACATGTTGAGTTCTTACAGTCTGAAAAGTATGTTGCATTGTTTCCAAGTAATCAAGGTTAACTCCTTTTATATTGAAAAAAGATACAAGAATTATTTTTCTCTGGCATCAAGAGCCGCGGTGGCACAGTGGTTAGATTGCAGTACTGCAGGCTACTTCTGCTGATTACCGGCTGCCAGCAGTTTGGCAGTTCAGGTCACACCGGCTCAAGTTAGACTCAGTCTTCCATCCTTCCGAGGTGGGTAAAATGAGGACCCAGATTGTTGGGAGCAATAGGCTGACTCTGTAAACTGTTTAGAGAGGGCTGCAAAGCACTGTAAACGGTATATAAGTCTAAGTGCTATTGCTATCAAGCCTTTTATTGTAGCTGTTTCAAATATATATTCCAGGTACAATTCAGTTAGTTTAAAGGTTGAAGGGAGGGGAAAAATTAAGTCTCTAGTTAACTGTGGCAGCAGTAATAGATTTGAGGCAACACACATGAAAGCTATTTTTAGCTTTAACTATTTGATGTGAACACAGCATAACCTTCATTGACTTTAATTTTCAAATGAGATTCTCATTATAGTAAGACTTGAAGGAGTCAAATCGTTAAAATAAATGAATATTTCATTAATGTGTGACATGATATTTGCTAAACATTCACTGAATAAGAATCAGTAGCAATAAAGGTTCATGCTGGCCATGCATTAATATAGTTCATTGGTTTATTTTGAATCAACAAGAAAGAGCAAATTGATTCCAACAGAAAGGAGATCCAGGATTTCATTCCTTCTACACTTAAAATGCCTTTAGAAGAAACAGTTGTATTTGAACCTAGGAAGGAATTGAAAGCTTCTGCATGAAGGCTTCTCTTAATTACCTATTGCCAGTTGGGCCAGGAACCATAAGAGCTGTAGTGGCACAGTAGTTAGAATGCAGGACTGCAGGCTAATTCTCAGCAGTTCAAGTCTTACCTGCTCAAGGTTAACTCAGCCTTCCATCCTTCCGAGATTGGTAAAATGAGGACCCAGATTGTCGGGGTGGCAATATACTGACTCTGTAAACTTCTTAAAGATCACCATGAAGGGGTATACAAGTCTTAAGTGCTATTTTGCTATTGCTATTTTTGAAGGGCTGCAAGAAAAAAATGTTGTCCTCTATTCATTTCCTAAGTACTATTAATGCAATCTTCCGCTACATTTTCCTGCATCTTTGTTCAAGTAATATTTTCCTTCTTCTCCTACGAAGAGTACCAAATTGAAAGTTTCATATAAATTTCCAGAAACCTAAAAAAAAGTAAAGCTTCTTTCATATCAGGCTCAGCTTCTGGTGAGACATACGGAAGCGGTGTGTCATTGCTCTCATTGGGGATATTTTGGCAACTTTTTATTATGACCTACAGTCCCTGATATTGCTTAACTGGCTTAGCCTCTGAACCCAGCCAAGGATGGCTGGACGCTGCTATTTGCTGAGATTGTATATATCTTCTGTTGATAATATATGCATATCTAATTCCAACGGTACATTAATTTTACCAGAACAAAGTACTGTGGATAATAGTAATTAAAGTTACTTAATGACAATCAGTTAGGACAGATGTAATTCCTCGAAAAATAAAAATATAATCTAAAGCTCATGATTATCTAATTATATGAGGTTTTCTCTCTGTGGCCTATGAGTTTCTAACTGGAGTTATTCCTATTATCTGTAAAAGTAAATAACTTCCCTGAAATCTTGTTTAACTAAATTGTGGTCATTATTAGTAATAGTCAGAGTAGGTTGGGTTATTCACTCTCTCAGCTCAACCTATCTCACTGAGTTAATGCTGCATAGATAAAATTAGCATGTAAGCAACCTTGAACTTCTGCAGGAAAGACAGGATTTAAATGCGGTAAAAATATTGCTGCTGAGGTTGATGCTGAGGGATGGCAATGCATGAATAGTTAAGTTCCAATTTAAATTTAGCAACCAGAGGATGCCTGATTCAATTTTAATTCTTGATTCAAAGACAGAACAATTTGGTTGAAATCAATTTCAGTCTCCAGATTTATACATAGATGTATAGATGGTGATATAGATATAGATATAGACCAGTGGTGTCAAACTCAAGACCCAGGGGCCAGTTCTGGCCCGCGGGGTGCTTAGATCTGGTCTGCAGGGGTTGCCCTGGAAACAGTGAAGGACCAGCACCAGTGGTGCTTCTGCCAGCAAAAACAGAGCTTGGGAGGGCTGCCCATGGCTTTCCCAAGCTCTGTTTTCACTTGCAGAGGATTGCAGAAGGCTGTCACAGGCAAAAACAGAGCTTGGGAGCCAGTTTTCACTGGCAGAGTGCTTGGGCCACTACAGGCGCCCCCGACACGAGTGACATTGAGCTGGCTATGCCCACCCTGGTCATGCCCATCCTCAGCCCCCCTGAGGTCAAACACAGCCCTGATGCAGCCCTCAATGAAATCGAGGTTGATACCCCTCATATAGATGATATAGAGATGATGTAGAGAAAGAGATAGTGAATGATGAGAAGTAGAGGTAGAGGTAGAACTAGATAGAGAATAATGAGAGAGAGAGATGGATAGAGAATGATGAGAGAGAGATGGATAGAGATAGATAGAGATGATAGAGACAGAGGTAGACAGATGATAATATAGATTCAGATATAGGTATAGATACAGATAAGTATGGATGAGTATAGGTATAGTTTCAACTATCGGCTATAACAAGAAACTATCTAAATGATATTTTCTCCAATTCCCCCTTTTCTTTTCCAGAATGGGACATCAGCGATAACAAGTTCTGTAGACCTTACCCCAGCAAAGTCTCCATTAGAAACATTCAAAGATTTTACTGAGGTAAACCTTTCAAACATTCCCCCTACAACTCTTGTAAAGCAAAAACACAGAATAAGGAAAGGACACCAGAGTAGTTTTCAAACTGCACATCAAATAATCTACAGAGAAGTTTTACAGAATCAGTGCAGAAAACATGCTACTCCAATTTTAAAATAACTTTCAAAAATAAAATGTTAAGGGTAAACTTTTGCTAAAGTTCAAGCAGTCCTTCACTCTCTACCATCACTTTTTTGGTCTGACTGCCTTGTTTATATGTCTCTTTGGCAAGGCTCACTGAAACTTCCTTTCTGGTAATTATGAATTTCATAATTACTACATGCTGATACAATAATTTAAAATATGAAAAGTATTGTGAGATCAGTATTAGGTATAATTTATTGAGAACTTGCTTTGTGGGGAGGTTAAAGGCACCAGGTTAGAAACTAGGAGATTGTGAGTTCTGGTCCTGACTTAGACATAAATTCAGTTGAGCGACCCTGGGCCAGTAATTCACTCTCAGCCCTAGGAATGAGGCAATGGCAAATCAAATCCGAAAATCCAAGATGTCAAGAAAACTACAGGGACTAGTCCAGGAGATCACCCAGAATAAAGATTGACCTAACGGCAAAATGTATATTTTACGATGAGATAAAGAAATCCTGCAATAAATAGCAATAGTCTGATAGCAAGCTCATTATTTCAGACTCTTTATCCAACAAACAAAGAGTCACTCAGTACAAAATAAAACAGGGGCAAAGTATTAAATGCTAAATATCCAAGGCATTTGGTCATTATATTAATATGCTCTTGAACTGACTCCCTTTTTCCATTATAATCTTTGGATCTTAGGCTTGCCAAAGGCCCCAGTGTAAATGATTATTCTCTCCCTCCCTCCCTCCCTCTCTCCCTTCCCCACCCTGGAATTACTGCCTGAAGCTGCTGGGAGACAGCGAGGATAGATGCATAGTTTTAAAAGCACTTGGGGATTTATTTTTTTTAAAAAAGAAGACTGTTAGGGGTAGCTATATGAATGTGGTCACTGAAATGGACATATTAGAAATGGCTTATTAGCATTCAAAATGGCAAGTTTAAACAAGACACAATTACAAGGCAATTGCTGTATCGTTTCCAGTCATTACAACTTCATAGAAAAGATAGAAAGCATGGGAATGAAAAGAGAACAAACTGTATCGAATTGGTTCTTTCCTTCAGACATAACACAAATCTCATGAACTCTTTTATTGCCATGGCCTCTGAAGTGCTATTTGGGGAGTTTCCCAATGAGTTTCTTCCGTAATTAGTCATTAGAAATAATTACCAAATTATTTAGACAATGCATAGCCTGAACTTTCAAGATTATAAACAGATTATCTTTCAAAATGCATTGAACTGAACTGAAATCATACAACATGTTCAATCACAAAACATGTTCTATAATGAGCACGAGGATAGCTGAAGCCAATCTTTAATAACTCATTATAGTCTTTAAATCTGTGACCATAAAAGCAGCAAGAGGTTCTGTGGGAATGGTTTAGCCTTTTTGGAAACCAAAAATACTAGAAATATCTGTACAAGCATGTAGGATTCTTTCTTCCACACTAACCTCAACCAATCAACCAACCAACCAACCAACCAACCAACATTAATTTGTTCAGTAGTTCCAAGTTTCTTTCAGCAGTTCCAAGAAGGTTCCACACCCATTTACACTCGGATTCAGATGACCCTGAGAGTAGAGATAAACCCCCAAATGGCCTCAATGACTCTCAGAGAGCTAACAACCAATCTTTGGGGGGTGCTAACAATAGGATGACTGCAAGGAATATATATCCTTCCATTCCCCACAATTCAATCAGAACTGAAGAAACTTGTTGGATAAGAAGTCAAACATCTTCAAGGAAAGAACAAAGAAAGTCCAGTTGTCTTTTGAAAAGCACTTTTGGGACAATTTGTTCAGTAACTCCTTTTTATTCCAGATCTTGTTTATCTAAAATAAAATAAGATTATCATACAATCTGGAAATATTTTAATTGTTAGCATGCTTTCTCTAAGTGACATTTCCTAGTCCACCTTATCATAGTTGTGTTTTCAGTATTGTTTGAATCACAGAAAAGGTAGAAGATACATTTCACTAACATCCTTTGAAATTTGTATAAGGCGATTCATTGTTTATTTATTTTAAAAAGAGGTTACTTCATTGTAATGCATACATCTTGTTCAGACTGGGTAACTTTAAAAAAAATAACATTGTATACCTTCACTTCAGGGGTGGGTTCTACTTATCTTTACTACCGGTTTGCGTCACTCCTGTACACTTGCTTTGCTGCGCAGATCACCTATGATGATGTCCGGGTCAGTGCGCAGAGCCTCCCGCCAGTTTTACTACCAGTTCTTGCGAACCGGTCTGAACTGGGGGCAGCCCACCACTGCTTCACTTCCTAAATCATGGAAAGCAAACCCTTAGTCATAGTAATATGATTTTCTACAAACATTCACCTAGCCTGACTTGGTGGCTCAGTGGCTAAGACACTGAGCTTGTTGATCAGAAGAGTCAGCAGTTCGGTGGTTCGAATCCCTAGCACAGGTCTCCTGCGTGAACATGGGGTTGGACTAGATGACCTCCAAGGTCCCTTCCAATTCTGTTTCCGTTAAATCTAAGTTAAAACCCGTATGTGTATTAAGTCTACACTAAACTCAACATAGCTAATTTTTTTTAAAGTAAACAGACAGGAAAAGAAATTGGGGATGTTTGCTGACTTAACTTTAAAATCCCAACTACATCCTCTGAAATCAAGCATGGCTTGCTTCTGTTCTTTTGTATAAAAAAAATAGGATCTTGTCTAAAGGCATACCCTTACTAATGACAACCATTGTTCTATAGGGAGTGATATGAGAAGAAGGTGTTTTAAATAAAGATACTTTAACAACTAGACATCCCAGAGTAGAAGCCTTGAAGTTCCTGAAGCCATGGATGTCCTATTGTTGAGGAAGGAATGGCATTGTTATATTGCTGTTTTGCCTGATCTGAATATCTTGATTTAGTGGTCCAAAAAGATGCACAAAGACAAAGCTCTGAATGGAGTAAGTTCAGATCCAGGAAGGCCCAGCTACCTCCTTAAGGGTTTAGCTGCAAGAAAAGAATACTGAAAGGGCTCTGTTTGTCTTGTAATCTAATAGCTGATTTAGAGTTTCCCGCAACCAGTCATAGCCATCACAACATATCTATCCTGCAAAGAGGAAGTTGAAGGATAAGCATACATTGCAGATGGCTGCAGACAGGTTGGTTCAAACATCTTCCAAATCCCAACTGCGCATTGTGCAGAGGTGTGTAGGCTGCATGCTGATTGGTTGACCAACTTCCTGTTTTGTGCTCGGGTGTTTGAGTACCTCTAACCAGAACATTAAAATTCACAGATGTATGAATGCAACAGCTATGCAACTGTCTACAAACAACAGAGATAGATGTTCCATCACTTGCAGCACCAGACAAGTCTGCTTAACCCTCTTTACTAGTTAGACTCAGATTTAGTTCCTTAAGCAGATTGGGCTTCTGATAGCTCAAATAATTTTCTCCCAAAGAAACATGAAAGCAGGAGAGTGGCAGATCTGAGAGCTGCCCATCAACTCTGTATCTCTCCTTGAGTGACTTCAGGTATTGATCTATTGATGGGATTCAAAATGAGGTTTTTTTCTTCTCTATATATGCCCAGTGTGGATTATTCAGCAAGTTCTGAATCATCCTCTCCCCTTAGAAAAGTTCCCAGTTCTGATTATCTTAAAAATGATTTTTTTAAAAAAATTATTAAAACCTCACCTTTAGGGCAACCCGCTTTGATGAAATTTGCGTTCCAATCATCCTTTCATCAGGATACATACCTGCATTCTTCCTGTCACAAGTAAATGCCTTATTCTCCATTATGTAAATAATATATGAACAGTGTGTCAGGGGTTAACTTATTCTTCACTTCTTAATGTATTCATACTTTACCACTCCCATAATTAGCTCCACCCATTGTATATATAAGGAGCTGCATACGTTCATTCTGTGCTTCTATCTGTGAATATTCAGTGAATATAGAATGCCTTATGTAAATAAAGAGAGATATATTTGAACTCTTAATTCTTGAACAATTTATTGAGTCTGATCCTGAAAATATCGCAACAATCTGGTAGCAGAGGATGGTTGAATTGACTCAATAAAAACTTAAACATGTCTAAAAGAGATAGGCCCAACACCAGGGCATACAGCAAAGAAATGGAAGCGGATCAAGAAATAATAGATGAGTCCACAAATGCAATTTCGAGAGAATCTGAAGAATACACCACAGAAGACGAAGAAATAATAAATAAAGATGATGACCAAGAAGAAAACGAAATAGAATACAACGAACTCAGGTCAGAGATACTAAAACTCCTAAAGAGCCAAAAGAGCGATGAAAGTCTTGTCGCGGACCTCCAAGATATACTAAAAAACAACGGAGCAGCGAGAGAGAAGCACATCGCTACTGAAAAACCAAAAGACTCAAAAATAGTAAGTGATATGCTTACAGATAAAAATGCAGCGAAGAAGAAAACCAACAATCCCGCGCAAAATTTTGAATGGCAGCCATCTTGGTTTCAACGGACTCCCAAGATGAGTGAAGCAGAGCCAATCAGAAGGCAGGATTCAAAATGTCTGGCGCGAAAAGCCTTACTCGATACGAAAAATGAAAAAGAAAAAGTATATACCTCAGAAGAATCAGAAACAGAGAATGAAGAAGATTCGATAGACACACAAATAAAATCAGCAATGAAAACGCTTTTTGCTGCATTTGGGCCGAAACTGAAGATTACTAAAAAATCAACCAAAAGGCAAGCAAGCGAGCCAACGCCTCAAAATCTACCCGCTCCTATCCAGACGGCGAAAACACCGACACCTGAACCCAGAGAGCCCTGCAGATATCACCCCACACCGCAGACTGATCCAAGAACCAGCGCCTTCAACAAAAGAAGACGAGCGCCCGCCATCACCAGGACTCCCAAGA